AATAATAATAATATACTGTATTAAAGTTATGGGAAAATGACCTCTCTCTCTTAAAATATCTTATTGTACTACACTGAGAATAACTGAAACCACAGAAAGTAAAATTGCAAATAAGGGGGACTACTGTACCTCTAAGTTCTAGCTGTGGCTCTAGCTATATGTGTGACCTTAACAAGTCCCTTCCCCTCTCTGGGCCTCAGTTTCCTTTTTAACAAATACTGAAGTTCAGCTTTCTACTCTAACTCTGTAAATATGTGCTAGGATTTTACTCCTTGCCACTGTCATTTCACCCTTTTCCCCACCTCTACCGATTATATGGAATGGTTGACACTTTTGAAGTGTTCTTTTTTATTTGCGTTTTCTTAGGTTAAACTTACATACAATGATATGCACAGGTCTCAAGTGGACCATTTGGTGAGTTTTGACAAATGCATACAGCCACATGTACCATGTCCCTAACAAGATATCGAGAGCACATTTTCAATACCCTAGAGAATCCTCTTGCACATCATCCAGTTAATCCTTTCCCTCCAGAGGCAAGCACTATTGTGATTTTTTTCCACCATGGATTAGTTTTATGGAATGATTGGCATTCTGAACTCCTTCGCTCTTTGAGGTGTCTAGTTGTTCAGGTTGCCTATTCTGAACACTCCTGAACTCCAGACATGTGAAGACACAAAGAGAAATTCTTGGCGGGTTCTCAGGACACTCACCCATGGTTCTGCAAATTCTCTAATTTTCTGAGCCTCTGAGTCACTGACAAAGTCATGGTAGAGAGCAATGTAGGGCTCCAGGTGGATGACCTCCTTCCGGATGGGCTGGAGCAGCAGGTAGGCATTGGAATTGGTCTCATAGGAACAGTAGAGGCTAGGGATCTGGTAGAGAGTGGGCTGGAAAGAAAGAATAGGATAAGCACAAGAGAAGAAGGGTCTAGGAGCAAAATTCAACTTAGGGGAACTATGGCATAAAAAATTGGAATGCAAAAGATACAGAATGTGGTCACTCTGATGCTGCCCAAGTGAGCTTTATTGTTTTTAATGCATCAGCTCTATCCCCTCATGTTATCCCAATTCTAGTTTCTCACACTCTAGCCAGGCCTCTCCCCCTTTCTCTTTCCCTGAGGAATCCTACCTGGGAACCCAGGGTCTGACATAGCTCCTCGTAGGTGTCTCTGGTCTGCAGGTGGGGTATATTGGGCCTCTGGATGACAGCCTCAGCTACCACCTGGTTGGGGCTCTCTGCCAAGAGCCTTTCATATTTCAAGACATTCCTGGCCATCCTCTTATTATCTGGGCCTGGAAGAAATCAGAGCAGGGAATATAAAATAGGGATTAACAAACACTGGCAGCAGGGAGTGCCACCAAGGTTTCCTCCAGCTTCACTGCTGCACAAGATGGGCAACTGGATCTCCTGAATAACTCCTCATGTCAACGCACAGGAGGACAAAAGGCCCTCACTCCCAGAAGAGTACCTGGTATTTTTTTTTTAAGTACCTGTTTTTTTTTTTTAAGTACCCAAAGCCCTTTGCACCTTTGAAGACGCAAAGGTGCAAAGGGCTTTAGGAAGCAAAGTAGAACTTAAAACTCTTAGGCCAAGGGATCATGAGGATGGCTGCTCTGGGACAGTGTGATGGTATATATGGGGAAGATGAAGCTTCATTCATTCATTCATTGATTCTTTCACCCATCCATTCAGTAAATCTTCAATGAACATCTACTGTGTACCAGATACTGTGCTACAGGCTGACCTCCCAGAATTTAGAGTCTAATGGAGAAAAAGGACATTAAAATATCACTTACAACAAAATATGATAAGTGCAATGAAAGAGAAGTCCAGAAAGCCAAAGCGTATTGCAAAAGGACCCAACCTATTCTTCCCCAGAGAATTGGAAGCTAATTCATTCCTGGCTCCACTAGATCTTTCAAATCTCCTAACTGGCCTAGACCCAGAACAAAGAAGTATGGGGCAGAGGGACTCTAGACTTTGGCTCTAGACTGGATTCCCACAGGGC